AAGCTAATTTTAAGGAATGCACACCTTAAAGTTTACGCTGAACCACTCAGACTCCTTGAATGCATCAAGTCGAGGTAAGTGGTTTTTCCCAACCATTGACTAGACTATTCAGGTATCCATGGTTTTTCCAAAGACACATCTACATGATGGTCTCAAGTGTGCTTTATTTACACGAAAACATTGACTCATTATCCTGACATCGATTTCAAGCAAATCGAATGGATAGCATTTGTAGAATTCTCCTTGAGTGCCTTTTTCTACGGCCCTCGGATTGAAGTTTAGCAATTTGTCCTAATGTCTAGACTTAAAATGGTTTGATAGAATCCCATCCAAAGAATTGAGCTCATTGCATGATCTTTACTTTGAAATTGCAACTTACCAACTTTACGTTGGAGTCATGGAGTTTTACACGCTCATGAACAAACTGCATAATTTTATTCCCCTCTATCTTTGATACGTGGAAATCTACCAAGTATTTCCTATCTGCGGTAATTCGGTTACACACCGATATCATCACCCCGACATACATCATTGGCCCCTCAACATTTAGTTGGGATCTATGTGAGGAATAACTGTATTACCGTCAATGCCTCAAGCCCCTCACATGGGGAGTTATTCAAGGCCAGTATGTTGATTCAATGAGGAATATTTCCAGGCATTAGGGGGAGAATTCAAGTACCATAAAGAATGCCAGGAAATTAGTGGAATGCTCAACACATTTCTGCCTCATATCCACGTAATCAAAGAGCTGAACCATGTGTTCAGAAGATTTGCAACATATTGCAAATAACCTGCCATATTCATTTACTGACTATAAAGGTGTCACACAATCCTATAATCCTGCAAAGTATGCCTGAAAGAGTGGAGGTACCAACAAAATCCACTCCACTCCCCGTTCAAAGCAACATGGGGAGATGTATGGCAGAAGTACATCAGGATTCAGCTTCTCGCAAGTAAGGATATCAAGGCCTGTGAATCAGTAAATGCAAGTCAACTTCACGTTGGCAGACACCTAATGAGTAGTATACACCCAGTGGATGGGAAACCTCCACCAACCCAGGTCATAGTGCACACAATGACCGGGACATCGGAATACCCGACTCAATCGCATTGGGAAATCGCGAGCAGTCACCATGGGTAACGATATTTCCATCAACTATATATTGATATATAGATTCTGGAGAATCATATAACCGGAAGTCTACAATTGTCGACATACATTTCTCAACTAGATTGCAAAAACCTTTCAAATAATTCAGATCCAAAGACCATGGCCATGGCAAAGTGTGAACAATACTCGGACTGAACTCAAGCAAAGGGTATAATCTAGCTAGAAATGATCTTGCTCAATAATGGGAAGGTATTCATAAGCAATACCTACACCAGTTTTCTTCTGGAGACAGAATTGAGAACAACGAGGTGGTGAAACAAAGAGCAAGTATTGTAGCACAAGGGTTTACGCAGATACCTAACTATTCTCCAGAGGTGGAATCTCATTCCAATAACTTATATCATTGGCAGTACAAAATCATCTATTTCTGCAGTTGATAGATGTAGTCATCACATATCCATATGGCTCACTAGATTCAGACATGTAGGATTGATTTCCAATGGAATCTCAATTCTGAATCTAAATACAAAATGCAACATACATTGTGTAAAAATCAGTAAGTCACCATATGACTTATTGTTGTCGGTACACTTGGTACAACCGACTTAGTGAGTTCCTTTCCACAAGGATTACTCCTACAAGGATGGTTATCCATGTTTGTCTGTCATGCACAGTGATTACTCCTGCAATGACGATACATGTAATCATCTAAACGACGGAGTTTAAATGAAGGATTTGGGTAAAACCAATATACCGCTCGTTACTACAACTTGAACACCTTCACTCATACATTTTGGTACACTATGTTGTCTATATTCAAAATATATTGGAGAAATTCATTGTGGACAAGTCTTATACATCCATAACTCTCATGGTGGTTCATTCTCTAGACATAGAGAAAGATCTATTTAGACCAAGAGATGATGAAAATGAAATATTGGGACTCAACGTTCCTTAATGCCATTGGATCCACCAAACACAATTGGTTGGTACTCCAGAATATCTTTCAATATCTTCAAGGCATCAAACATCTTGTCCTGGTTTTTCAGTTTCACAGAAATGTGAACACCGATATCATTGGATACATCGATCAGATCCCACTATATCAGATCGTAGACAAGCTTAGTGTTCCTATTAGGTGTGGTAGCCCTCTCATGAAGAGTCTTCGAGACAGACCTCATGGCTACATCCACCAACCATTATCTCAAGGATAATATTTCTTGTGTTGCCCGGATGCAAACATGTTACATAATAAGCAATATCGCTATATTGCATATCTTGCAAGTCAAATCATGTGACTGATTTGTTCACGAAGTCTCTACCAACTTCTACATTCCAGATATATGTTTTTGGAATTGGTGTGTGACGGCTTTGAAATTTGCAAGAATCAGGGGGAGTATCTTCCTAAATTGTTCCTGTTCAATGCATCATATTATACTCTTTTTCCCTTCATGAGTTTACTATATAGGTTCTCATAAAGGTTTTTAATGAGGTAATATCAACGCAAGATTATATGTCATACTTTTGTTTTCCCCACCGGGGTTTTTAGGAAAGTATATACGACATATTCTTTGCCCTCTAAATTCTATGGATATACTTCATATTGAGTTAACAGAGGCAATAATTATTATATGCTGGATCAATTTCTCCTTATTTTCCCACAGGGTTTGAAGGAATTTTACCAGCATATCATACACTACTCCTCATATTTTTCCCACAGGGTTTTTGGAGGAGATTTAATCGAAGATGATGGATCCTTATGCGGTCAAGCGGTGATTAGGGGGAATGTTAAGATTAATTAACACATTGTTAATTAAGGGAATAATCCCCGTCCCGTCGCGCCCGTGCCCGAACAGTCGCGTCTTACGAACGCGTCCGTTCCCATTGTATATAAGGATTCTGTAACCATCAATAAAGGGTTCGATTCAATCATTTGTCTCTCGTCTCTCTCGTTTAAGATCTAACACTGAGAATCATGGGACACGGTACCCATCAGCTGGCTAGTCTCCCGAGCAGCCCCCTCCTCCGAAGCCCGAGTCCCCTCCCCCTGAGCCCCACGACCAGGAGCTTTCCCCGCTCCAGAAGCCCCCCGACGACGGCGAGGACACGTCCGACTCCGCCCCCGCAGACGCACGGGAGGTGGAGGAGGAGTCCGTAGCAGAGTCTGGTCCGGTGGAAGGTCCTCGAGGAGGCTTGTGGTCGTCCAACATCATCATCATCATCCAAGAAGAATCACCAGAATCACGAGCGTGGCCTCGAGAGATGCCATGTCTGAGAAAGGCGCGCGCGAGCAAGTGAATTAAATTAATCAATCAAGATGCGGCAAGTTATTTTAGTACAGTACTTGATTAATGAGATTAGCCATAGGAGGTTCATCGATGAGCTTTGCTAACCTTTCTTGATTGCGTCGCCGTCGTGCTGCATCTGACTCGTCTTTCTTCTCGTCGACATGACGCTTCTCGAACTGAATGTACACGCAGGCATTAATAGATTAAATTCGGTGCCGCCGATGAAGGTGCAGAAGATTAGGCTCCGCAAAGAAAAACCGCGCATAAGATTCGTGCTACCAGTAATTACACACGATATCTTTGTTCGCATTAAACTTCGTGAGGTGTGTGTCGCAAGCGTGTCTTTTGCGTAATTGTTGTAAGTAAAAAAAATAAGGTAATCAGGGCACGCCTACATCTTAATCTCGCTACCTCCTCCTCCTTGATAAAGCCAATGCGAATGCGAGGTGATACATGCATGCAGCTAATATTTTGGGACGTACCCGGCTGGCGGCGGTGTTGCTGCTGAAGGATGCGGCCGACGCAGGGCGAGCCGGAAGCCTCAGGCCTGCCGATCGCCGGAGCGCGAGGCCAGCAACGGCAGATCGCAGCATCGGCGTCGCCATTGACGATCGGATCTCCCCTCGATCGGTTAGTGTTCTGCAGCAACCGGCAAACGCCTTCTGTTCACACGGAGCAGGAAGGAAGGCTGCACGCACGAATGCCTGTTGATCAAGAAAGAAAAGCGAGTCCCACTGTCCAGAAACTTTGCTTTGTTTTGTTTTGCCGGGACATTGTCCATGTACTCTTTTTTTTTTTGTGGGTACGAGTGCGCGTCCCTGACTCCCTGCTAGCTCTACAGCTCTCGGTACACATGTTAATCGGTCCCTAATCAGATATAAGCATAATCACCAGCTGAGGAGCATCTAATATTGCTCATCTGCACGTACTCTATATAGATAGTTTTATATCGGTTATAATGAAGCATCACACCATAATCTCAGTGGTTAGTGAATCGATTGTCACACACACAACATAATCAGATTCGGTTACTTACACATCGGTTACTTACACATCAAGCACTCATGCTGGCTCTCATATATTCAGGCTCCGGCAGATAGATGGCACTAGTAAGTACTCCCTCCGTTCCAAGCTAGTACAAAGTTGAGTCATCTATTTTAGAACGGAGGGAGTAGTAGCTGAAAAAGAAGTAGTAGCATGTAGCTAGACACTCGTCTCTCGCAAAAAAAGAAGACAGGCATCGTCGATCCTCTTCTCCACATATTATTATCACCATCTTTCGAAATACATGGATGATTACCAAACAAGAACATTCTCAGATAGGTCACATGCATCCTTAGTTCCATATGACATTACATAGAATATATAGTACTACTTATATGCTAGATCAGACCAAGGCCAGAAATTAAGATCCACACAAGTTGGATGGATAGCTTGTGTGTGGCCTGAAAGCAGCTCTAGTACCTACAAGACAAGAAAGCAGCCAGGAAGCAAAAACAAATTAATCCATCAGCGACCAACCTAGTATGGTTTACTTTTGAATCAGGGGATAATTCAGTTGCCCACAAGAAACATTTTGTTATATTGTTATTACCTCCTTTTTATTCTATGCCTGAACCCTGTTTTGGATGTCGAAGCAGGCCACCACCTTTGCTGCAGCCAATCTTCTTACCCAAGCGTGTCTTGAAATTAATGACGACTTCGTACTGAGCCCCCAATATACGAAGCCGTTTCAACCAGTAGAACTTCTTGGCCAGTTCATGCGTCTCCGCTGTTTTCTCCACAAACACTTTCTTCACATGCGTTGAGAATTGCTCCCTGGATTTCTTATCAATATGAGGTGATCGCAGCACGGTGTATAAGGACCGCGATTCAGGCAACCCGACCTTATGCATGTACGGCGCAAGCTCCTTCAGATTGTTCTTCTGGTTATTGAAAGATTTCAGAATTATGCGTATCTTGGCAGGTGACTTGCGGGTCCTTGGGTACACATCTTCCTTGGTGTCCTCAATAGGCTTGCCAAGCTACAACAATTAACAAACTTGGCATTATAAATTACAACAAATGGAGTAGCAAACGTCTAGATCTGTAGCCTTCTTCTAATATCATCTCCTTCGACAAGATATATGAATGGACTTGCAGTGAACTAACAAAAGTCACGAAAAAATCTGGAAAATTTTGCACACACATTTCTAGTATTGCTCTACCTATCTTTCAGAACTCGCTTTAACATACAACATTTTGTTGCGGAGAAAGTTTAAATACAATCAATGTAGGAGTAACAAAAATGAGAAATTCCGGACAGAGATAATTAGTGGATTGCATGAAGATTGCACTATAGGTCTTATCACATAGTATAGAACATCTCCATCATATTACCCTAATTGATCGTATTAATTTCAGTTTGCAAACGCCTACTGTTTTAGTTTGGGGCTTTGGGCGGCCTTGTTCTGTTATTGCTCTAAATGTCTACAAACCTGCAGGAGCTGTGTTGTTTCAATTATTTGCACAAATAAAGTAGTTGTCACTGCTAATCTTATAACCAAACAAAAGACCGTTCAAGGAGGCTGGAAATGATTAATGAATTAAACAGAGAGACTCAAAAGGATATAAAAGAAATCAATAGGGTATTAATTCCATAGGAGAGGAAATATTGACAGAGGCTAAATCAAGCAGAGTAGAGCCATTTCTTCTAGATCAAAATTGACATTAGCAGACAAAGGAATAAATTCATTTAGATTGACTGCCATTGTTCTGCCCCAAATAAACAAAAGAGAACAATGTAGGTCGCGATCAGAACTCTAGCAAATCAAAGCTCCCTGAGAATTAGGGCAATTCTAATGAGGAGGGAGCCTAGCCTAGGTTCTGAACTGGTTTCCCTGGTAAGCTAGCCCGACTCATATGGAAATCCGAATGGCGATGAATCCAATCTACGTACTGCAGTTCAGTTCTTCCGTCAAGCATCTGATTCGAGCTGGCTAATGGCTGAGTAGTATCTTGATGCGGAATGAAAGACTCAATTCGAGAAAAAAGCGCGTACCGTCGAGTTGGTGTTGCTGGATCCAGGCCGGCTGCCGTTGCTGAAGAAGCGAGAGGCCGCCGCCGTCGCAGCAGCAGCAACACCAGGCGGAGGTGACGGCCGCCGGAGGAGCGGCAGGCCGGCGGCGGGGTTGCCGCATCCAGCGCTGCCCAAGAAGCGCGAGACCACGGTGTCAGGTGGAGATGCCGACCGGCGGAGCGCCAGGCTGGCGGCGTACCGGAGCATCGCCATCGTCAGAGAGCAGCTCTCTCGAACCCTACTGCCACTTTCTTTGATGGAGAGAGATCGGCCTATTCGGGCTTGGGTTTGCTGCATGTATTGGGCTTCTTACTCGTGGGCTTATTGGCTTGCTCGTGCTAGGCCTTTGTCACAAGAGCAGAAAAGGCCTGCTCAAAGAAAAGGAGAGCAGAAAAAGGCCTAACACGAGAGGGCTTATTTGTCTAAAAAAAACGAGAGGGCTTATTGATATTTCAGATGGAGAGGGCTTTGTCACAGAGTGCCGCGCCGGTCGCCGGATCTGTTCAACGAAAGGGAGAAGGGAGGTGCGGCGCCGGGCATGATGGCGGGGGACACAGAGCTCCTGGAAGAGAGGGCACGGGTGAGGAATAGTTTTTTTTTGAGAGGTGGGTGAGGAATAGATGGGGAGAGAACACGGGAGCGGAGAGCTGCGGGAGAGATAGGCTGCACCTGCACTAGGTGGTGCTAGCAGCAAGGTCCAAAGGTGCACCGGGTGTGGAGCCAGAGAGGTGCGCTTGTTTCCATCTAAGGGCACGTACAATGGTGGCATATGGATACATATGCCTCATGACAAAAAGTAATTTGAGGCACCTACATTTATTTTTTCTCCTCAATGCAAGCTACCACTAGTGGACCTCATTAAGAAATTAGAAAATAAAGACTCTAGTACACATGCATCTCTACTTTTCACTTCAACCTTTTTAGCTTTTGTCACCGGACCATACTTTTTCTCTTCAAGCACCCGCCTCCTGGAGAGGATCCCGCTTCCCTATCCGAACCTACTTTACGTCATATCCGATCCTACATGGCATGCGAGGCATCACCTTGAGGCTATGCATTGTACATGCCTTGCTGAATCGACATGAGACATGGGCCATGATTGGTGGACTCCGGCGGTGTGCGTGGAGGTGGGCATCGAGAGGGGTGGTGGTGGACCGGACGGGGATGAAGGGAATCACTGGAGAGAGTTGGGTGGTGGACGGTGAGGATGGGTCCGGGACAACGACGTGGTCGTGACGGAGACAGACCGCAAGGAACTCCAATAGGGTCCGACGGAGGGAGCACAACACATCTCACGCCAGGGCACGATCTCTCGAGGATGCTCCACCGTTAGAGCATCTTCCACATAATGCAAATTTGGAGATGCAATACTAGAAAATGTAAAATTTACATAATTAAAAAGTGTATTTTACATCTTTAAAAAAGAGACAACTTCGACAGATGATGCATGCTGGTGATGTAAAAGTGCAAGTCCAATAAATGATGCAAATGGAGATGTAAAACCGGCCGCTGCTGCTGTGTGACTGCTTCTTCGCTGGCGGCTCAAGCGCGATGGCGACCGGTCGGGGTGGGGCAAAACTGAGGCGCCAACATGGAGGTGGAGGCCGGATTGGGGAAGGTGTTCGCGCCGGAGGCAGCTGCGGCGAGGTGGGTGAGACCACCGGTGGCGTCTGCTCGCCAGGCACTTGGGCTTCACGTGGAAGTAAATATGTGCCTCCATGATAAGCAAATATGTGCTTCTCGTGGAATAACTAAGCCCTACTGTTCACTAGGATGTGACGTCTGGTCGCCAGGCACTTGGGCTAACGACACCAAAATTCAGAGAGAGCACTGCATATTTAGGCAAGGATGTTCACCTTGTGCCTAAATCCAAAAGTGATGATGCTGTTTAGGGGCACAAGTGGGGCTATGTAAGTGCAAGATGCACATGCTTTGACAAGCAGTTTATTTTTCTGGATAATTTGTATATGAAGGACAACATGTTTGGTATGCAAGGATCTTCAACGTTTTCATTTTGACATGACTTTTTCTTTGAAACAATGTAATTATCTTTGTTAGGCCTTTTCTGCCCTGCTTCTGGTGATGAAGTTTGGAAATCACTAGTTAATTTTTTCACTGCTAAAAAAAGTTAATTTTCTACAGAAAAGGAAATCACTAGTTAATTAATGGTTACCTTTTGCAAAGTCACTTCCACTTTCTCGGACGCTGACAAATGGCACACAAGTGTGTCACTTGTCGTAGAGTTTTTCTTATATTTTTTGGATTTATCTATTTAAAATGTTCTATCTCTTGAATCCCGAAACATTTTCATTGTGGAATTTCTCGAGTCGAGATTTTCGAAACTAAATCCCAAGTAATAGGTTTCAACGAACATTTCTTCAGAAAAAGTAGAAAATAAAAAAACTCGAGGGAAAG